CCACTCCAGCAGCCCTCAGTTTGTTTCCTGAGATTAAGAGTTTCTTATGGTTTGTCTCACTCTCTGGTTTTGTCTTGTTTCATTTTTCCCTCCCTTCCCCTATGATCCTCTGTGTTGTTTCTCAAATTCCTCATATCAGTGAGGTCATATGTTACTTATATATACTGTATTCTTACAATAAAGTAAACTTGAGAAAAAAATATTATTTAAAGAATCATAAGAGAAAATACATTTACAGTACTATGCTGTATTGAAAAAAAATCCACATATAAGCGCACACATGGTTCAAACCCATGTTGTTCAAGGGTCAACTTTACTTTTATTTCTATGAGTGTGTGTTTAGCTTCTGTCAGCCTCACTAGAGTGCAAGCTCCAGAAGAAGAGACGGATGTGTAGGTTTTACTCTCTTAGTACAAAACAAGAGTTCAATAAGTATTTTTTGGTTCAAAGAATGACTGGTTGATTGATCCCTAACAGTGAAAATGGAATTTGCTAAAGATGGGGTTTACTTGGTTCATTAAAATAAAAAAGGAAAGAACGGGGGTTAATTGAAATGTGGACCAGGCAAGATGGAGAAAGTTGGGGAACAAGAACAGGATTTCTCAGTAAACTGTAATTAACTCAGTATGTTAGGCTAATGGCCCACCAAATAGAAATGTACCCCCTACCATCTAGAGGACATTCTGCCCAGGGAAAAATGATAGTGGCGCTGGAAAGAATTACTACCTCAAGCCAGAGGGATCTGAGTGTGAATTAGCAAAAGCAGAAATTTCTCAAGTTAATTAGTGGGAGGTGCCATTTCCGAAAATTAGAAGGAGAGAAAGACTTTATAACTGGATGGACCTTGTAGAGTTGCTTCAGACATGCCCCTCCCTTTATGCAAGCAGTAATAAACCACACCTCAGATAAAAGGATTACACAATCCCCCCTTGTTTTCTGATCTACCTTTGGAAAGAAGTAGCTTACTTGGAAGAAAGAGGAAGCAGTGGGTTAAGGAGCTGCCTTCCTATCCCATCTTGGCCTCACCTAGCCCATTCTAGTATGCTTCGGCCAGAACAAAGCCTGGGATTCACAGCTCGGGTCAGGTGGTTTCCCTGCCTAAAGCTCTTCAGGACTCCATTCTACTCTCAGCATAACAGCCTTAACAAGCCATCTGGCCTTTCCTGTCCCTCCAGCCTCAGCTTTTGCTCTTCTTTGTCCCTCACTTCATGTGCTCTATAGAGCACTCCTATGAACTTTGTTTCTAGAACCAGTTCTTCTACCTGGAACACCCCTGCACAACCTTCCTACTTAGCTAAGTGTGTATATGTATTATGTATACACACACATATACAAACATGGACATTATTTTCTGAACCATTGAAACATCTTGCCCCTTTACCCATAACTACTTTAGGATGAATTTCCTAGGACAAGAACATTTTCTTACATGATCACAATATAATTATTATAATAAGGAAATTTGACATTATTAAAATACTATTACTAATCTTCAAATCATTTTTAAATTTTATGGCTTGTCCATTTATGTCCTTTATACCTATTTTATCTCCCCAGGCCAGGATCCAACCCAGGATCACACATTACATTGACTTATCATATCTTCTTAGTCTGTTTTAATCAGAAATCGTTCCTCTGCCTTTCTTTGACCTTTGACATTTAATACCTTTAACATAAGCTAGTTGTTTTGTAAAATTATCCCCAGCTTGAGGTTTCTCAATGTTTCCTTGTGACTACCACAGAAATGATGCCATGTCCTTGGTACATTATAACAGGAGGCACAGAATGTCAAGTTATACCATATTGGTGATTTTGCTTTAATCTCTTGGGTTAAGTGGTGCCTGCCATGTTTCTTTACTACAGTGATTCTTTTTTTACCATTGTAATTAATAATTTTGGGGAAAGATACTTAGAAACTTTGGAAATACTCAGTTCTTCATCAGACTTAAGTCTACTTGTTTTCATCCATTTTACATCTGCTTTATTTTTTTTTACTTTTTTTTTTAATTTTATTATGTTAGTCACCATACAATACATCATTAGTTTTTGATGTAGTGATCCATGATCCATTGTTTTCGTATAACACCCAGTGCTCCATGCAGTAC